TTTTGTATAATTTAATACAACTTAAATTATATAATATAATTTTAAAAATATAACTTTTTTTTACTGTATTTATTTATGATAATTTTATAATTATATGATATAAATAAATAAATTCATATTGTAATACATGCCTCCTGCTTAAGACAAAAGAACCAATAAAAATTATTGCAATGTCATAATATTAAAAAAATTATTGTTAATAAATCATTTTTATTTTTTCGATAAAAAAAGCATTTTTTTCAACCATTTCTTTTAAAAATAATTAAAACATGATGTAAGAAAATTTTCAGAAGATTTATTATATTTTTTTAACACATCACTTTCACTGATTATATTATTATATTTTGTTTGCATTACTGGAAAGAGAAAAGGTTGGTACAGCAAAGAAAAGGACAAAAAAGAAAACAGAACCATTTTTTTTTAATTTGTTCATCCTTTATCCTTTAAAAGATCAGGATTTCTAAGGAAAAAGAGAAATCCATGTTCCAACTTCTTTGGGTTAAATCCCATAACTCCTCTAAAAATAGTGACATCTTGAAATTTAAGACTTAAATTTTAACAATTTCATTTTCCATCTCTCAATTGTACTACAAAAAGAGAAATGCATGTGATTTGCTTCAAATTTTGGTTGCTGCAATTGATGGGTTGTTGAGAAAATTGTTACTTTAGTCCCCCATGATGAGGGCTTCATCATTGACATCATTTTACTTTAGCAGATCCTACCTCATTCAATCATAGAAAATCTTCAGTCTTTCATAGATTAGTGAATAACAACATCATGATTTCCCTAGGTGCAATCTTGATGCATCATCTAGTCTAGAGAATAACCGTGAAGATGAACATTCAAATTTCTCTAACATTGTTAACCCAGAAACATATACAGATACCACCAAGCAGCATTTGAAGAAAACATCCCTAGTGTCAAAAACACTATACTACAATGAAATAGAAAGCATCATCCAATTCCAGGCAATACCGAGAAACTACAAGCAGTCAAATAAGCAATGAAATTAAGTCTAAGGCCCATTTTTCCAGTCGAGTTCAACATCAACTTCATCGCACAATCTATATACAGCCCTAATAAAGCCACAAAAATTGTATAACTCTCCTAGAACAACTAAAAATTCCATGAAGATTATAGACAATCAACTGGCACAGCATCTGACTTTCTTATGTAGAAACCAGGTGAGATAAACACATCCGCTGAGAATGAAAAGTTACTTGATAAAGTTTAACATTTCAGGAATTACCAGCTGAGCTATAATCTAGCTGATTTGATTTAGCTGGCCCCTAGTGTTTTATTATGAAGACCGGTTTATATTCATCATCCCACCACTTTCCATGACACGAAATACAGTGACTTTAAGCACAAATTCCCTTGCATTCAGCAGCTCAAAGACACAAACATCTCCTTCCCCCATATTATTCTCCAATGTAAATTCATACCATCCCTGACTAAACTTGGCTCTTCCCCCTTTGTAAAGACAACGAACAGGCCATTGCTTTCCATCCGGAAGCTGAAGTTTAATAAATCCTGAAACCCCACTTAAGTGCTTTTCAGCAAAGCAAGATGGTAAATACTGCAAAACCAAAAATATTTAGATAATTGTAAGTGAGACATAATAAAAAGGGGAAATTGTAAAGCCTCACATACCACATCAGAATTAATGGCTCACCATGATACAGCCCCTGTAAAGATAAGAGGGCCGCAGGACAACCCTACAGAAAGGATTAACTGGTTCAAATGCTTTCGCTGCATTAATTGCCCTCTCTCTTTCTTCAGCTGTCACAGTTCTCTTTCTTGCTGAAGCACTTTCGTAAAATCTAAAGCGCATTTCTGCTTCATCTTCATTTTTAGCCGATGAATTCTGTTCATCTGCATTATATTGAATGAATGGTCATTACTCCAATACATCAGACACTGCACCATTGAATAAAAGCATTAAGGTTGAAGGACTTACTAGTATCAAACTTCTGCTTTTTCCTCCCACGCTTTTTCAGTTTCTGTGGCTCTTCAACTGAAGAATGCAATTTCACTTCATTAGCCGGATTTTTAATCCCAAATTCATTAAGATTAACACCTAAATGTTGAGTAGATTGATTATCCACACCCTTGGTTACGTGTAGGTTGCCACCAGCACTCCAACTTATGCAGTTGGTAAGTTTTGGCCCGCCAAACAAATTCTGCAGCGGTGGAGAGACGTAGTCCTCGTCTTCCAATTCTTCAAATGGATATTGTCTACCATGACCAAATGCCTCAGCACCACCGAGAGTATTGGAATGATAGAATATCTCAGAGGCAGACAAATTAAATATACTAACACTAAAAGCTGAATTTCCTTCGTATCTGAAGATCAAAAAGTAGCCAACACGGATAGAGTAGCGCTCTATGAATTCCTGCCAACCCTCCTGAAACCATATCTTGTTGTCAGCTTTCTTTAATCCTACACGGGAAACGTGACCATCAGGAACAGTGAGAGCAGCAGCAACAGAAAGTTCGCCCTTGAATCTCTTGACAAAGTTATCTGGGATCCTCTGCAGGCATCCATCAAGTCAGGAATATTTTTCTCAAGAATAATAAAAAAAATTTATTACATTTTTGCTGAATAACAGTTAATAAACCATATTGATCAATGAAAACTTTGCACAATATCAAATGAATGAAGACACTCGATCCCATCACAGGATCTTAGAATATGTTTGAATCACTTGAAGAAATTAACACAAATCAGCACCTGTAACAATGAAACTCTGATAAGAGCACGATGGTAAAATAGGGAATATAAAAAGGATATAACCTTTTGCAGGACCAAGAGGTATCTATTCAACTCCAAAGATAAGGAAAATCACGAAGAGAAAAACTGTTTTTCCAAGATGTCTGGTTATCATTATCAGCAACATGTCAGTCTGTGACTACTACTAACAGGATAAAGAAAAATGTCAAGCAACCATAAAAAATCAGCAGTGTGGTAGAAAAATGAAAATTAATTTCAGGGACAAGAGACCAGTACATGGTGAGCAAGAATTTAAGCACCAACACTCCAATAGAACAAGTATGCCAATAATTAAAATTAAAGCCTGGTGATATTTTTGCAAGATAAGACATTTTCTAAGAGATCCTAGCCTACTTTTTGGTTTCTGGTTTCTTCAAGTAAAATTTGTGTTTAGGACAATTATTTTTATCTTTTTGATTTTTCATAAAGGAAGAAAGATGATAAATCCCAGGTACTACATTAGTCCAACAAAATCAAGGGAAATTGTTCAGAGCACGTGTGAAACAAATCTCCAAAAAAATAAAAAAACCTAAGGCAGAAGATCCATCATCTTCTATGTTAATGCATATGTCGAATCAATAGAGTAATAATGAACCCACTAAACATAACTTTCATTTTTTTCCTGATGCAATACTGAATTTTTTATTTTTTATTTTTTGGGCAGGAAACATAGAAGATACAATACTGATTAACCACATATCTTAATATATTTACTGCCATGAAGCAAAATTTACCATGCATCATGAACCATTCTACAAAACAACAGCTCTATATTACTCTTAGATATTTACTCTCCTGGAAGAAGACTTCAGAAGAAGGTTGAAATCTTTCAAAGTTTGGTTCTCTAAACAGTATAAAACTAACACAGACCAAGTTAAGCTAAGCTATTTAAGTCTGCTACCTAAAATTAAATCTTAAAAGATAAAAATAATTAATAAAACTATAAATTTCTTTACCATATCCTTTATTCACTTCCCATTTATCAAGCACCCAATTAACCCATCAAAATTCTGGAGTCAATCAAAATCCCTCAAATTTCAAAGTTATCTCAAAATCTCAAAGGAGCTCTAATAGTGGAAAAGGGACCAAAACATCTACAGAACAAAACCACATAAAAATCATGCAAAATTCATAATTTCTTCCAACCCTTAACTAATCTCCCTAACTAAACTTCCCCAAAACTCAAATAAGAATCACCCCATGAAAAAATTGAATACCAACCCACAAATTTGAGCTTCCTTTCCTTTTTATTCTCCAATTTTTCTCAACAAATACCAAACAAAAAGAACATAGAAGAAAAAAAAAAAAGGTAGATAAGAAGAAGACAAGAAAAGCGAAAAAGTCTAAAAGAAGGAAGATTTTGGGTTTACCAGTTTCTTCTCCAGGAGGGTAGAGGGCAGAATCAGCTTGTGGAAAAAAGGGCGTGGCATGTTGGAGATAGACTAGTCAGATCATATAATGATGTGGCTTGAGTGAGTGAGTTATGTATCTTTCTGTGGAACTGACAAGACCTTGGGAGGAAGGGATTTTCAGCTTTCAGATCTGGGTTCTTCCCCTTTTTTTTTTTCACTGGTTTTTCACAAATACTGTTTTTTATAAAAACCTTTAAACCAAGAAAAAAAAAAAAAAAACAACTTGACCTAAAAGTTGAACGAGTTCATCACAACCTGCGACTCGGTAAGCAAACTCGGGCGTGACTCGGCAAGCTAACTCGGTGATCCCATATGTGTCTTACCAAACCCCATTGTTTTTTTGCTAGGTATTTAAAAATCTTTCCTTTACGTAGTGACCTACCAACTTCTTTTTCACATTTTCTTAATCCAAAGCAGGGATGCCATGCCACCCTCCCCCCACAAAAAAAAAAAGAAGGAAAATAATAAGAATTAAAAAAGGGGATAAGGGAAATTCTGACAAAAAAAAACTTACCAGTTTGAGCTACATTTATCAATTTATTATTATATTGTTTTTAATTTAAAGCATTTTATTGGTTGAGAATTGGTAAAATTCAGCCCAAACTAGCAATTGTTAAGTACATCAAGTAACAAATATTTATGGGAAAGCTTTACATACTGGGAAGACAAATTCCAACTTAAGATTTCATTTTCAACTCTTGTTGTGTGTTGAGATAAAGGAATAGTACTTATTCATTTTTTCTCTTAAATAATAAAGTAAATTATTTTAAAATTAAATTGTTTCAATAAATTTTTATTTAAAAAATAAAATAATTTATTTTTAAAATATAAATTAAAATATTTTTAATCATTTCTCATAACATTTTATTAAAATAACATAATTTTAAAATTATTTTTTAAAAGTTTTGAAAAATAAATCAAATAATTACCATTTCATATATATATTTATGCATATATATATATATATATATATCAAATTGTCGTATAAAAGAAGACTTATGCCTACAAATATTAAAAATAATGAAAAATAAATCGAATAATTACTATTTCATATATATATATTTATGCATATATATATATCAAATTGTCGTATAAAAGAAGACTTATGCCTACAAATATTAAAAATAATTAAAAAAGACATCGTTTGATTTAATTAATTCAACTTCTTTTGCTTTCATATTTATAAAGGATCAGTTGAATTATTAATATTGATTAATTAAAAAAATTTAATTAAAACCAAAAAAGGGTTAAAAAAAAAATAAACACTGAAAAAACAATTGAACCCAACCGGCCAAAAACAACAAACAATGAAAAAGGCAATTTCCCTCACCCCGCAGGGGGTTCCAAACCCCACATATCAAAAAAAACAAAAAAAAAAAAAAAAACTATTGAAATAGTTAACCTCATCTCATTCAGTTTCACTTCAGCTCATCTGCCATAACCTAGAAGGGCTAGGTGAAAAAAATAAAGAAGAATAAAATTAAAGGAACAAAGAGTATGTGGGGTGATAAATCTACCATATATAGTAGTGCATTTATTAATTTTTAAGAAATTTAACAAAAGCACCCATTATTTTAACTAAAAAAAAAATTGAATCTTATACCGCTTCGAATAAAGCATAAAATCGATATGGTGATCATACTAATCTGTATAAAACAGAATAGACAACCTTGATTATATTATTGAGTAACAAGCCACATAATCCTTCACTTGTAAGAAGCATATGGTAGTGGCATGTTCAAATTCCACCAAACATATTCCACTCCCGTGGCCCTTACTAGCCCCTTACCCCGCGCCGTCCCCCCCTTCCCCTTCCCCTTGACATAAAAATATAATTTAATAATTTAATAAAAAATAATAAATTTTCAAGTTGAATTGTTCTTTTAAAATATAAATTTTTTTTAATAAGTTGTCAAAAGACGGATTTGAAACCCGTCCATAAAAAAAAAAATGCACCTTAAGTTAAAAAGTTGTCAATTGACTTGAAAAATTAGGGGCACTTTAAAATTATAGTTTTGATATTAAGATTACTAAAATAATCATTTTTTACATTTATTAATAATTTAACAATTTTATAAATAATAAATTAATAATTTTATTATCTAAACTTTAAAAATTCAATATAAAGTACACAACATAATAAAACTCTTAATAAAATTAATAAATTTATGAAAAGTTTTACCAGGTCCATGACCATATTCCAAGATCATTTTGTTTATTACGAAACGTACAAATGAAAACGGTGGTTATTTATTTATTTGCAACATGTTAACTCGGTTGAGTTAGATAGGTGAGTTGATGAGTTGGATTTTTAGAGGGAGAGAGACTGCGCAACACTTACTACCGAGTACTGAGTTAAAAAAAATAACAAAAAAAGAGAGTAGTTGTTTAATATGTGTTTTAAAAG